CCCATCTACAAATACAATCACACCGGGGTTAGGGTCTCAGTGTGTGAATGTGGGGACACAGTTATTCAGACCATGAAATTGGTTTCCATGTATTTGAAGGAAAAAAAAACTTAATTTTAAAATTTATTCCCAATTCCACCCCATTATTTTTGTGCCATTTAGAGTTTGATGTGTTACCCAATTTCTCTATTATTTGCTCATCACCTTTCATTTTAAACTGGGTCTAACGTTCTCATTCTTTGTAACTCAGCATAATACATACAAGCAAGTCTTCATATTTAGTAATGGAAAAAAAAATCCAAACATTCTTCCTTCTTTATTTGATTCTCCCAATAGTATAATCAGCTGAAAACTTTTGCCATATGTGATGTAGGTTAACTTGATGATCAGAAATGATTAATAGTGGTGAAGGGGGTGATACAATTCCAGAAACGTGCATAATATCACACAATGGAAGTGAGTGAAGACAGGTGGTGGACACGAAACTATTAGAACACCACCAAAAGTATTTCATAAAATGAGATTTTATTTTTTAAGTCATCTTATTTTAATATAATATGCATACAATAAAATTGACCCATTTTAAGTGGAAGTTTGTAAATTTGGAAAAAATATATACCCATGTAACTGCAATTCCGATGAAGAAACAGAACTTTCATATCACCAAAAGCATTTCATCCGTTTTTAGTCAAACCTCTTACTTACAACTATAGATTATTTTTTGCCTACTGTAGATTTTCACAAAAATGGAATTATGTAGTATGTACACTTTTGCTTTGGCTTCTTATTTTCAAAATAATAGAGCTTTTACATCAGTTGTTCATTTTTTAAATTGATAGTATTTATGCCACACTATGTTAAATAATTCACTTTTTGGTAGACATTTTGGAGTTTTCTAGTTGTAAGCTATTATGAAGACAGCTATTGTGAGGCATAATTGTTAAATTTTTGTGAGAAAATAAATTTTCACTTTTCTTGGGTAAATACCTAGAGTGGGATTGCTGGGCCATACAATGGTTGCATTAAACTTTGATAGAAAATGCCTAATTGTTTTCCAAAGTGTTCGTTACATGTTATACTCTTGCCAACAATGTATCAGAGGTCTAGTCATATCACAACACCACTAACACGGTATTCTCGTCTGATTAAATTCAAGTGTTTGTGGTGAATGTATAGTGGCATCACACTGTGGCATTAAATTACATTACATAACATATTGCTTCAAAATTATTTATTGAAATGACTACTCTCTCTCTATTTAATAACCTTCGCAGTGTTGAAAATAAATCTATCATATACATATGGTTGTATTTCTTTAATCTTAATCTTTTCTATCACCAATACCATTTCTTGTTTATTTTGAATCTGCGGTAAATCTTAAAATTGGGATGTTTAAATTCCCCAATTCTGTCCTTCACATTTAAAATTCTGTTTGCAGGACTATTTCATTTTCAGATACTACAAATTTTGGAAGCAGCTCACAAGTTTCTACCCAAAAGTTCACAGAGATTTCTATTGGGATTGTATTAAATCTATAGATCAATTTGCGAGTAATTATAATTTTTACAATATTGAGTTTCCCAATTTATGAACATGGTATATGTCTCACTGTTATGGTTGAATTTATATGTCAATTTGGCCTGGCCAGAATACTCAGTTCTTTAGTTTGACTTCAGTCTAGATTAACTGTGAAGATATTGTCTAGATGTGATTAACATGTAATCAGTAGACTCTTGAGTAAGGAAAATTACCACCATAATGTGGGTGTACCTCATCCAATCAATGGAAGGCCTTAGGAAGAAAAGACTGTGGCGCCCCAAAGAGAAGCACTCAAGCCTGCCTTCAGACTCAAGCCTGCAATATCAACCCCATCAGTTTCCAGCGTGCTGGCCTGCCCTGCATATTTTGGATTTGCCAACCTACACAGTCAATTCCTTAAAATACATCTCTCTCTTTATATGCACCCTATTGGTTCTGTTTCTCTAGGGCAGTTTCGCTAATAAATTCTTTTAAAGCATTTCTGAAAAACACAGTTCTAAAAAAAAAATTTTTTTCACTCAGAATATTGAACATAGTATTTAAGATTATCCCAAAGCATTGTATGTTTTTGATACTATTTTAAACTGTATTTTTGATTTAATTGTTCATTTGTTTGTTGCTAGTGTAAAGAAACCCAACAAATTTGTGTTATTTTTGACTTGAAATATTAAATCTATCTAAATTCACTTGTTTGTCTAGTCCATTTTAGTAGATGCCCTGGGATTATTGATGTATATGAATATTTTTTCTGCAAAAGAAGACAGATTAGTACTTTATTCCCAATCTGTATATCTTTTATTGCTTTTTCTTATATAATCCAGGAAGGAAAACAAAGCCTTAGAAGAAATTACCTGCTCCATTTGTGCTGTGAGAAATTATTTATACAAATAAACAGAATTGGTACTGAGAGGGGAGAGAACAGTTTTAAAGAAAAACTTATGGCCATATTTGATTGCATAAGAAACTCAGAACCTTTATACATCTTTCAAACCTAAAATAAAAGAAATGTACAAATTACTTCTGCAATAATTTCAAGAAACCTGATTGTATTTTACATATCTTTTAGAGATGTGTTTTACCTGCATTGGAAAAAGAGTTTATCAAATATAGGTAAGCATTCAAAAAGAATGTATGCTCTTTCAGCTTCTGAGAACTTTCTAAAACTAATGTATCCGTTTGGTAAAAGGTGGCATTTTTTTAGGTGTGATTTATTTTCAAAGATGATCAGTAATCACCATGCATGCGAAAAGGCAGAATACAGTGACTCAAAGGAGTCAAGATGAAAGAGAAAGAAACAGTAACTGTACGACATAGCGTCATTTGTTCTAGGTCCTGGGCATTGCGAGGGTCTTCACATTGGGCAGTAAGTACAGGATAAGAGCTAATATCAGGATCTATGGAGCCAAATAACCTGCATTCTCTCGCTCACTCTGTGATTGTGGGAGACATTTTTAATTTCTCTGTGCTTCAGGTTTCTTCACATATAAAATACAGATAATTATTGTAGTAACTTAGTAGGGTTATTATGAGGATTAAATAAGTTATTATTCATAAATGACTTGGAAGAATGCCAGACACATATTAAGGTGTGTGTGTGTGTGTGTGTGTCTGTGTCTTTTAAATATAATTTTAAATTCATATTATTCATATGCCTCAAGGCAAAAGTATAATAGTTGTCACAAGAACTACTCCAATGATTAGTTCAAGAAGTTACATATTTAATTATAAAAAGATTACAGATTTCACTATAAAGAACAATTTCATAGCCCATTTTAGAAGGTATTATCATAAAAGAAAAAAGCTACTAATATCTTTTTACATGTTAACCAAAAATTAAGATTCTCCCTTAGCATTCTGTGTTCTTTCTTCCTCACATAGTTCATCACATCACAGTTTCCTGGCCCTCAAATGATAGCTTAAATATTACTTTCTTAGGGAAGTCTCTGATCTCTTTCTCTCTAGGCGGTAGCCCTGATACATGTCTTAATAAATCCTACATTCTTGCCTTCATAGTACCCACCACAATAGTACTTAAATAATTATTCCTGTAATTATTCCTCTTATGTCTTTCTTACAGCAACACAATAAGCTGCTCAAAAGGAGTCTTTCTTGTTTGTAACTACTTCTTTTTCTAGCAGTGTCTGACACGCAGTATCTGTAAGTTTCCCTGAGAGAAGGGACCCAGCCATACTCCTTTTACCCTTACCTGTTGAGTATATTGGGGGGGTGCAATAAATATTAGTTGCCAGAATGAATAAAGAACTTAGCATATAATAAAATGATACAATTTTTTAAGTGACAAATCAAAGATATGTTCTGCAAAGTTACAATGTAGATTTTTGGTGCTGCACTTTGGAAACACTGTCTAGCAATATAATGCTAGTCCAATTCCCTGGCATTTACTTGATGGGTTGAGCATGTTGTATTAAGGACTAAGTGCCATAAAATTAAGGAATTTTATGACAGTCCCCACTAGTCCAGCCTCCACTACACATATACATTCTTCCATTTTTCCAATAATACACAAATCTAGGCCTGCTATGGAGGGATTTTGCAGATGTAATTAAGAACCCAGATTGGGTTGACTTTATAAGAAAATTATATGGGAGGGACCTATGACCCTTTAAATCTAGGTCTAGAGGTTAGAGACAGGAGTGGAGGGATGAAGTGTGAGAGAAATTCCATGCAAGAGAGGACATTCTGTGGTGCTGGGGAAAGGAGACTTCTAGGAGCTGAGCATGACCCTTAACTGACAGCAAGGAAATAGAAACCTCAGTCCTTCAGCTTCAAGAAACTGAATTTTGTCAATGGTCTGAATGAACTTGGAAACAGATTTTTCCCCAGATCCTCAAAACAAGAACACACTCTGACCAACATCTTGAATTTCAGCCATGGAAATTGAGAAAAGAATCCAACCACCTTGTACCCAGATTTCTGATCCAAAGACTTGTGAGTTAATAAATGGGTACTGTCTTAAGCCTCTAAGTTAAAAGTAAAAATGTGTTATGCAGCAATAACAAGCGAGTATGTCTCTGTATAGAAAAATGTAGATTTGGTTTACAGATGCAAAGAAAAGTTGTATGGGGCTCAGATGAGTCAAATTTATCTGTCCATAACCTTTTCAGTTTTAACGGTTGAATAATAAAATTTGAAAATACTCAATTTAACTGTTAGTTCTGCTGTTAAAATTAAAATTCAGTCTCGAAAGAAATGATGAGAAAGCAATTTTAAAAATTATTATGAACATACTGTAAATTATCTCTAGTCAACAAGACAATGTTAGTGGAAATGAAAAAAGTTTTTAAGTAATATTTTTAAATAAGCATACATTTAACAGAGAGTTTGCTATTATGCTTCAGTTCAAAACACATGCTATCTTATTTGTATATGCTAGAGAGATGATCCAGATTTACAGATCTCCAAAGGCTGTTTCCTTCAATATCCCTGTACCATTACTTCTGTTTCAGGTGCTTGTTTGAACCCTGCACTTCATGTGGAAATCATAGAGGGGAGAGAGAGATTACAGCCCGCCACTGTGTTTGAAGGTCAGATCTGTGCCGTTTTTCTGTGTCCTTTTATTAAAATGGAGAATCTGCACACTATAGACCATGATGAGAATAATTTCTCTCTGTAACTGAAACAACTCACTTATTCTCAGTCAAGAAAACTGTTGGTGCTGGGTAAAGACCCAGTGGTGAAGGGGCAAGGTAAAGAGGAACTTCAGAATTTCTTCAGCAGTGCAACAGCTGCTGTGCTAGATTATGGAGAAATCCCAGCACTTCTTCCTTCTTTTTTATAATGTTTTCAGAGCAACTCAGTGCATCCCTTGTATATCTGAGACCCTTGCAGTATTGTCTCATGTTGCTTTATTACCATAATAAACTTGTGAATCATAGTAACTAACTCAGCAGGGCTCCTATGTTGTCACAAACGTGATCCAAAAGGGTGCCAAGTCAGCAGTTCCTTGCTGCTTATTAATATAGCACATTACAGAGATTCATTTAAAACTTCAACAGATGTAATATAATGAAACACTCTACTTATAATTACAATTATGCTGACACTTAATAATAATTGGGCCTCTGTGCCTGTATTTCATTTTGCTCTAAAGACAATTGGATCTTTTCAAAAGAAGCTAACCCCTCAGCAGGTATTCTGCTAAAAAAGAGCTAGCATAATTAAGTGAGAAAGCAAAAGTGGTTATGGCATAAGCAACAAGTGTGCAACTGAAAGGTAGAAATTAGAGATTTGGGGATCTAAGTTCTTAAAGAGAAAGCATGGTTGCAAAATGAAAATCAGGAAGCTTAACGATAGTGTATAAATGCTTAGAAGAAAAAAGTAGTAAAATGTGTCCTGATGTGATTAGCAGTTTGTTGTTATTATGTAGAATTATATGTCAAGTGTAAAAAAGCTCTTCATAAACAGCTCATGACACCAAACTGTTTCTTGAAGGTTTGTTAAGGGTAGGAACTAACAGCCATTCTAGTGATTAACATAATGCCTGTTTTCCTACCATACCATATTTGCCTCTGTTATAAATCTTTATCTTTATCACAAATATAACTGCAATATAGACATTATACACCAAACATTGACGAGACTTGGATATCAAATAATCAAATTTCTTCTCCAAGTGCAAAATTTATATTTAGGATTTTATTGATTCAGAAATTCCCTATAATTAAGGGTTCTTGATCTCACAATGAAATATACAGTTTTAAACGCAGTTCACGGAATGATGCTGTCACCTCCACAAGCTTAATTTTAATTGTAATAATTGAATAAATATGACTGAGTTATAAATTAATGGTGAAACATAGTAATAAATAATAAAAAGATATTATAGTCTAGGTTTTAGGGAAATGTATTTGTAAGTACCCACGATTATGCTTTAATTATACAATCTAAGTGAATGCTCTAATAGGTACTGGATATTGACATCCTTCCTTTGGAAAACTTATCATCTAGAAAAAGGCATATAATAAATGAATATATAATGATGTTATGATAACGCAGTGATACCAATAAAAGCAGGGATGTGTAAAAGAATAGTGCAAAGGATTGAGTTTACAATGGATGAATTGGGAATGGTACTTCCTCAAAGGAGCCATTTTAGCTGAGAGCAGATTGCTCAGTAGCATAGTTTGGGGTGAGAGGATGAGAGGAAGTAGTTCCAGGCTGAGCGTATGCATCTAAAAACTCTGAGATGCAGATCAATGTAGATGTAGCAGACTGTGAATGGTCCAGGGTAAAGTCTGAGATCTGGAGTGTTTAGTTCATGAAGAGTCTCTTAGAACAGGTTAAAAAATTTGGGCTTTTTGTTTAACATTGCAAGGTCATGAAAATATTTTAAGTATATGGAAGATGGGTGACTAATTTTAATCTTTCAAAACATGTCTTTGGATGCTCCATGGATGGGGCACTATGAGCAGACTTGAGTTCTGGAGATCAACTCTGCAATAATCTAGGTGAGCGACGCTGGTTTTAATGAAGCAATAGACATTAGATCTTTGGAAACTGTAACTATACATTGAGTCTTTAAAGTTTTACAACATCCAAGAAAAAGTATCCTGTTAGTGGTACAATATTTTATTTATTTATGTAACAAAGAGTTACTATGCTTTGCCTCATTCTAAGATTCTAATGTGTAGTTTCATTAAAGACACTGCTAATTAAAAATAAATGTGTGGTCAATCATGGTGAAGTGAACACTGAGCAAAAAGACAAAAGATAAACATCAAAAATGAGGAAAATTAATTAAATTGCAAGCTATACTATCCTGTACATTAACTAGAAAGGGGACACGATTTGCTTATAACATTTCTAGAACCTAATAAATGGAAAGAAACATTTCTATTTACAAAATATAAACATTGAAAGTTCTAAGAGAAATAAAACTGTTTCTCAGTTGTAAACAATTCCTAATACTGATATCCAAAGTGAAGTCACTCCATATGAAATCCTCGACTGAAAATCGTATGCCTAGAAAACAATGACCACCATGTGACTTCTTAGTACTTCAGCTGAGACACTATACCCAGGGTTAGAATTTTTTTCTCCAGAATTAGTTTGGGGCTTGTTCCAACTGCTACTTCAAATGGTCCCTAAATCTTCATGTGTCCTTAAGACTGCTTAACTATTGCAATATAAAGTAAATAGTGTAATACTGAGGAAAGGTCAGAAAAAGTATGAACAGAATTCTTATTCCTAACAGGTTCCTTCACATTGTGCTGAAAAATGCAACTACAAATTTCTAACAGAGTAACTCAGCCCCCACCTACCTCTTACTCAAACCCAACAGCCTAGACATCTGCAAGGAAGACTGCAGTGGTGATTGGAGGCTGGACACATTAGAGAGAGCAAGGACTGTGCTCTCAAAGGGCCTCGCTTTGCAGACTGCTTCCATGCTCAGCAATGTTTTAAGATCTCTGAGCCTCTCTTACCTGGTTTTAAAATGCTGATAAGATTGGCTAAACATAGCTGTCGTGAGGATTAGAAATGACTCATGCAAACCATCATTAGAGTGCCTGATGCATGATAAGCACTTAACCGATCACAACTATTTTTCTTTACTTGTTTTAAACCAAAAAAAATAAAGTTTATTTAATGCTGCTTCCAAAAGCTTAACGCTTGCAAAAATAATGCCAGTAAAGTTGCTGATCTAATGAAAGTAGCAAATAGCAGGACATTTTGTTTTACTATAAGATACCAGGGACTAGGAATGCATTTTTATATGGTAACTTATCATAGTATATAAATACACACTGATCATCCTACAAATTCCTGAAAAGTCACTCTCAGGACAAGAACAATCACCAGGTGTTCTTACCACTAAGAAAAATCCTGGCAGGGATGGCAGGGTGTAGAGATGACGGAGATTAAAGCAGCAGGAAAATGGTAAGGAAGGAACTCACAAATTGAACTGTAATAGCAATATATTACCCACTTTACTATAAAGCACACCCTTAATTTCAAATCAAATTATGCTGATTTTTCAGCCTAAGAACAAAGAGTATGTGTACAAATCCACTGTTTGTCTTCTATTTCTTTCTCTGTAGATACGTTAACATTGAGTCATTAATTTTAGACATTGAGTCATTAATTTTAGACATGTGAGAATTTCATACATTTATGAAATTATAGGTCAATCATATGAAATAAATACACAAGAAAATAACCATGTTACGTCAAAATATCTTTTGTGAGCATTCGCAGTGATCCTGGATTATATATCTTTTGTTTCTTATAAAAGTGTGTCTTTTATAATCAAAAATACCTGATAGCAGATTTTGCAAATTGGTTTCACTCTGCGGTTATTTTTCAGCTTTATTTACAAATATGAAGACATTAAGGATAATGCAATATGGAATTCTTAAACTCAACATGCTTTCCTGAAGTAGCACTAATTTAGGAAATATATAAACTAGTAAGATACAAGTGCATTTGTGTGTAATAGTCTGCTGCTTTTTATCATTCCCTTATCTATTAAGAGCATTTAGATGTATGTTTCTTAATATTCAGATGTAAATGTGGTCTTAATTCTTTGGAGGTATTTTCTCAGTCACAATGAGTCAGGGAGAAGGCAAAAATATTAATCATGGATCTAAAATCAATTGTAATGTTTGTGTGGATGTTAATCTTGCACAGAGAAGATTGGGAGCAAGTATCTCTAAGCAGATACTTTAACAATAAAGTCTGGCTGGCAGCTATTGGTGCAGTATTTTCTAATTTTCTACTAAATTCTCATGGAAAGCCAAAAGTAAAAGATTGTTTGAGTACAGAACAGTAGAACTAATGGTTAACTGGCCATCATAATCTGGGGAATGTTTTGCTAAATAGAGGGCCTGTAGAACTGGATTCAATACTATAATTAGGGTAATGTATTTAGAGGATATTTTGCCTCTCCTTTTCTTCTACTCCCTGATTTAGAAGCACAAGTAAAACCAACCAACAAACCACTGTTCTTTGACAATCATGGTGCTATTGTCAGCTCAAATCCTATTCTAAAACTGCCATTGTCATATAACAATTGCCCAGGACACCTTGGTAGTAGGGAAATGACAGAGGTACATTGACTTTTGAGGCTTTCCAGAAGTAATTTGTTGTTGGCAGGCAGCCAGAGCCTTGGTCAGTTATTATGTCATGACTCCCCGTATGCTCCATCTATACCAGGATCCAAGAGGCAAGACAAATGGACAGATGGAAAGAATTACAGTTCATCAGAGCATGATGAAGAAAATCCCTCGGATGGTAGAAACTGAGCTGTATGCTGATGTACACTGACCTACTGTCCAAGTTTGGTTCAGAGAAGAGTCTTCCGCTAGCAGCCAAGAGGCCAAGATAGGAGCCAAGTGAACACCAAACATTCATGGGTAAGCATCCGATTTTGACAGATCACTCTCAATTCAAGGATCAGTAAATCAAGGATAATTTAGGACTGAAAAATGACTCCCCTTCTTTGTCTGCTGAGTTTCGTAGCATCATGCTTGAAGCAGTCCATATCTCTGCTGTACTGTCACATTCTCATAGTGCCCTCTACTGCCTTCTAGCCGGCTTGGAGGCAGTAGGTTGGTTGAAAGCCGAGGTGTGTGCTTTCAGGTTTGGGAGACCAGATAATAGAAGAAGGAAAAATAATGAGATTTCTTTTTTACATGTTCTTAATTACTGGAAGATATATTTTAAAACCATCTTAAATGCTTGCAAGCAGTGTTTCTCCTTCAGTCCCTGGTCGAAGGTCCTTCATTAATACCTCTCAGAATATTCTATCCCAGTAAATTTAAATAAAAGTATACTCTAATTAGATAAGTGTTAATTTATTAACAAAAATGTTTTTAAACAAGTTAAAAGTCTTTTAAAATGTTATTAACAATTGATAAGTTAATACATCGCTGCTTTAAAATGTTAACTACAGAAAAATAAAATGTTTATACTGCAGATTATGAACCCAAAATACAGTATTCCCTTCCACTAATTGTTGAAATTTGCATTTCTTAAACCAGTAACTGATGCTAGAATGCTTTTGTAGTAGTGGGGAAAGTCTAGTTTGATGTAAGAAATTGAGAACTATCTTTTTTAGTCCAGATATTTGCAAAGAGAAGGAACTATACAAAGTAAAATTTTCAGAGTGTTGCAAAGACAAATGAAATGATTAAGAAATAATAAAACAAAGCCTTCAAGGTAGCAGCAGACCTTTTTTGGTATTACCACAGTTATAGCTTTAAAACTCCACTTGAAAGTCTCAGGGAATCTATATGACATAGCAAAATGATTGACAGCCCAAAGTAAAGAAATTATTCTGCACAAATTGAAATAGTATAATGTTTTTAAGCCTGTTTCTTTTAAAGAAATTCCATAAGAAGTTAATATGAAATGGGATTTAAAAGATACTGACATGTAGATGTAACATTGTGTCCACAATCACATTCAGAATCACAGGCCAATTTTATAACCCACAAGCACAGCAGCAGATAGTTTTACTTTGAAGTTTATGTCAAATTACATTTTGATATTTCTTTTTATAGTGAGTAAATGTAAAAACAAACATCAAAGTGAAAAGTAATGTATTTTATGCCTGGTGTGTATTAATAGTACAAATTTATCAATGAATATTGAAACTGAAATTAGAAAAAAACACTGCAGTGTGTTCTCTTTCCAAAACAGAAATGGTAAATCACACAAACACATAATTTGTTCTGTTATATATATTGTAAAGGTTATGTTTATACTATGAGCTGTGAATGAGATTAATGAGTTTTCTCAGCACAGTAAACCTCCTCCACAGAAACAGAAGCTAAATTGCAATAAATCATGGGTTTATGTTCAAGTATTTATGGGACGGGAAAGATTTAGAGTTTCTGTGTAGAGAAAGCCATCCCAAAGTAAAAGGGAAAATTATGGCATCTGTAACATAAAGGTAGATAAACTAGGGCAAGCACAAAGTTGTGCATTCAGTACACTTTAGTAATGTCAGTAATTTATTAAAAGTAATTATCATAGCACAGTTTCATGGTTATACTTCACCAGAAGTGACAAAATGCAAGCTCAATATGTTAGTTACCTTCACATGATTATGTATCAAGACCAATTAAATTAGAGCTGTCATTTTTCTATATTTCCCTTAAAACTAAGTACTATTTTTTTTTCTAAAAATTTGTCAGCAGTTTCACAGGGAGTACGGTGCTATTCATCTACTATAAAGTATCTCACATTATCATTTGTGCCAATAAGTTGGTCTTATATCACTTCCTAATGAGAAGTTCTTTTATTTTTATTTTTTAAACAGAGGAAAAAATCTACTAATCATTTGGTTTCCTGGTAAGAGTGTACTTTATGAAAATTATATATAAAGAGGTTTTGGAGACAAATTTTGTAGACAAACATCTTGAAGAAAATCTAGTATCATTTTGAAGTGAACAGTATTTCTGTATCTTTAGTTTGTGGCATTCAAGCCAAATGCTGAAATACAATATATCAGTACTAACCTAGATGCCAAGATCCTAGTTAATTTAACTTTGTCTAAACCACTAAATGAAAGATTCACTATTGGAAACAGTAGAGTGACCTTTCTACTCAATATCTTGAGGAGAAAAAAAGCAATAGAATCTGATATATTCTGCTTTTGGGAATGTCATTCAATCTGGTTCAAACATGATATAATGCTAAGAAAAGAGGAAATCACATTGTTTCAAAAAAGATCAAGATCATTTGAAGTGAAAGATTTAATAAATAAATTCTTATGAGAGAATCAAGAAAATAATTCCGATCCTTACAAATAATGACACAGTAATAAAGTTGAAAATAAATGTTAAGGCATGAATATCATGGTTTAGACATTTTTAATGGACTACTTTTCTCATCTATTATCAGAAGGAAGTCAGACAAACCACATAATTAAATTTATATCATCTATGCTCCCAAGTGAGTTAACAGTCTTTATTAAAATTATATAGCCTCAACATACTCTTGATGAAATAGGAACTTTTTGATGGAGGAACCAGAGATTGCTCAGATTCAAGGGCAATGCAACTTTTCTAGAACAGATTTTATTAGGTCTTTTTAGAAATTTGTGTCCATTAATGGATGAACAGTCACTCATATTACTAAGATATTTTAATCTGTCAAGTTTAAGTATGTCTAAATAACAGATTTAATGAGTGCTAATCAAGAGAGAGCCAGAAGTACAAAAATTTTTAATTTACAATATTTTCTCTAAAGTGGTGAAATCTAAGGGTAGAGATAGAATTAATGTAATATGAGAGATTTTGATATTTTCTGAAATGAAAAACAACATTTTTCTTTAAACTATGTAGTCTCATAAAAAGAGCAAACTCTATATTGATTCCTAGGCATCAATAAATAGCAACTGACAAAAAGTAAACTATTTCTGATTTGACACCCTTACAGACACCAAATTACATCAAACATCTCAGTCTATATAGTACATAAACTATTACATGTTACATTTTCACATACTGTCTACTTTGATATATTTGGACCCTTTTTGTACTGTCAGACTATTTGCTAACAGTAATTGGCAGGTGAGTAAGTGCATCATTCTTATTTTATCACAGAAACCATTGAAATGATTCATCTTTTTCCCAGCAAAATTGTTTCATTTCTGTCTAAACATAGAAAACCACAGAAGGATAATTGCATTCTTTAGTAGTATGTTCAAACTTATTCAGAATTTTTACATTGGTTTGATAGGAACCATATTATTCCAGCAAATAATAAAACACCACAATCTTAAAAAAATAGGCCAATCAATGTACTTATTCTTGCCTTATAAAGATGTACCATGTAAGATGAGATCAGAAGTAAGAGCATTTCGCTTTAGCTCTTTTTAAAAATGTGCTCATTTAGTCAGTTTTATGTAAAAACATTTTACATCTTCTCATTTGCAAGAACAGTCCTATGTTAGATAAAAGAACACATACATTTACTTCATAATAATTTTAAAGAGTGAAATTTCATAACAACGAATCAAGTTATGACCACAGCAAAAGATTATATCTTCTCATGACATTTACACATGACACAATTAATGCTTTATCAGGAATTAGTTCCAGAACAAAAACTCTAAGGATGATTAAAGTGTTGTTAGTGAAAAGTTAGGGACAAGTAAAGGAGTATTTCACAGGGCCACAGTGCATTCAAATCTGCACACCATACAAAGTATGCAGAGTTAAAACAAGCTTACAATACAGTAAATAAGCAGCTGAACCAAATTAACCCCAATCTAACAGCAAATGCATTTACAGGCACACTTCGGAGACACTGTAGTTCATTTCCAGACGACCTCAATAAAACAAAATCACAGTACAGTCAAATGAATTTTTTGGTTTCCTAGCACATATAAAACTTTTGTTTACACCATACTTTAGTATGTTAGTGTGCAACAGCATTATGTCTAAAATAAAGGTACTTACCTTAATTAAAAAAAATTTTATTGCTAAAAAATGCTAACCATCATCTGAGCCTTCAGTGAGTAATAATCATTGATCACAGAGCATCATAACAAATATAATGTAAAAGTTTGAAGTATTTTAAGAATTACCAAAGTGTGACACAGAGACACAAAGTGAACAAATGTTGGAAAAACGGAACAAGTAGACTTGCTCAACAGGGTTGCACAAACCTTCAATTTATAAAATATGCATTATCTGAGAAGTGCAACAAGGCAAAGCTCAATAAAATGAGGTAGGTATACCTGTACTTTCATACATTGTAAAATGAATTTAATTTCTATAATTTAGAGCAAAATAGAAATAGCTTGATAGCTTAAAATAGCAAAATAGCTTAAAAACAAATTTATAATAGTGTTAAAATATAAATATTTTAGAAAACTTAGGCTCTAAGTGAACAAATTCTCTATATTAAAATCTATAAAATATTGCTAAAAGAGATTTAAAGAGACCTTAAAAAATGGAGAGATATATCATGTTCATGGAGGGGAAGTCTCAATATGTTTAAAATGTCACTTTCTCCAAATTGTTCTGTAATTTTATCTCATTCTCAGTCCTAATACCAATAAGTTTTTTTGATTTTTGGTTTTGTTTGATTTAATAGCAGATGACAAGCAGACCTTAAAATCTGGATGGAAATATTAAGGACCTAGAATACATTAATCTTGAAGAAGAACAATTCTGGAGCTCTTGACTTCAAGATTCAATATAAAGATAAAATAAAACCAAATAAGGATAACCAAATAAATAAATGGCAAAACAGAACATGGAGCCCAGAAATAGACTCAGATATTGATTTTCTACAATGTCATCCAGCAATTCAATAGATAAGGGCAAATATTTTTTAATAAATAGTGCTAGAAAAAGTGACTATGTATATAATATATTATATATATTGAGGGATGGGAATCTAGACTCTTACTTATTCCACACACCAAATTATTGTAATACCTTTGCAACCTTGGATTAAGCAAAGTATTTAGGCTAGACACAGAAAAAAAATAATGAAAGAAAAAAGCAATGAGACATCACAAAATTAAATACTTCTGTTTATTAAAAAAAGTACTTTTAGAAAAATAAACAAGCAAACCACAAACTGGGACAAACACAGATACTGTCTTAGCAGTTAGTTAAAAAGGCATGTATAGGAAATTCAAGAAGAGGCAAAACAAATATAATGTGAAAAAAATCACTGTTGACCTTTCAAAGACAATAGAGGTAGTTCACTGGGAAGAGACATGAGAGAACTTGTGGAGGTAACAGTTTCGTATCTTGATATGGATATAAATGCAACCCTCTATGCATAGCCTTGGTATAATCACCAAGTAATATCTAATAACCCCACCTGAGGCAACTCCTACAAAATCACTGGCCTATCATCTTCAAAATGTCAACATCAAGAAAGACAAATAAAGACAGTATGTTCCAGATTTAAGGGCCTAGAGAAACAGGGCAACTACATACAATGAATGCATCTTCTTGGATTGGTTTTTGGAGCAGGGCAAAATCACTATAAAAGACATTATTGAAGCAATTAATAAAATTTGAGTATGGACTGAAATAATATAATATGACAGATTTTGATAAAGCACTGTGGTTATTTCAAAGAATTTCTAAGGGAATATACATTGAAATAAAAAGTACATCTTTAACTCATTTAAATGGCCCAGAAAAATATGTGTGTTTATGTAAGAGAGAATATTAAAAGAAATGGAGCAAAATGTCAACATTTTTTGAACTGCACAAAGAAGACAGAGAAATTTCTTGTACTATTTTTGCAAATTCTCTCTAAATTTAATGCATCAAAATAGAAATCACATACAAATCTAAGAGCAATATGAGACAGAAAAAGGAGCATCATGGGTAATGGAAGGCTAGGAGATAAAACAGCAGAAGTTCACATTTCTCGGTTTGGGGAATACATGATTCCTTTGGTTTTACGATGTAGTTGTTATCCAGATGAAAGATCGTGGAGGAAAGCCTTGGAGAAAACAGTGAGGAAAAAATAACTCACCATCTGGAAGGTGACTGTACTTAAAGGAAGGTGCTCATTTGCTTATGAGTTATTTAACAGAATGATGTCTACTAGAAAGAAAAAAAGTAAACAGAATCTCAAGGTTCAACTTACAAAGCATTTTCTTTAATGGTACATGTCTCACTCAATGTACACTGACCAAGATAGGCCAGTTTTAGTTCTAGATCTGCTACTTAGTAGTCAAATATATAATTTAACATTTTGGTGCATGAATATCTCATTTGTAAGTAAAGCAACAAAGATATCCAATTCATGATAGTTTAATGAAAATGTAACCGCTCACATAAAGAAATTAAAATATTAAACAATTATTTAATAACAATTCATTAATCAACAATTAAGTATTATATGAGATGTCATCATGCACATGTATAAATATAAAAATTAAACCATCTCTTGATATTCATAGGTACAAATAGTATATATCACTAGATTCCACGTTATTTGCTTTCAACACTTGCAAAAAAATAAACATCAGTTGCTAAAGCAAATTTTTATTTAAAGCTTTTGACATAATATAACCACTAAGACACATTATCTTGATTTTCCTTCTGCTTTTTTGGAGCTGTCCTCTGTTTTGCATAGTTCAATCTGGTTCCATCGGCAAACCCAAAATTTTGCAAAAGCGAGCAGCTTTGCAGATGTTTCTCAGGTATTGAACATAGTTGAGCTGCTGTCTTGGGAACAAGGCAATTTTTACACAATGAATTGCTACATATACTTTAAATGTCAAGACATGCTCTCCAATTGTACAGGCTCTTTTCAGGCGGCCTAACTTAGAACACTGTCACATTTTTAATTCTACACACATTCATTTATGAACAATCGCAGTAGGTTTTCTTGACACTTTGTTTTCTACTTTTAAACCTTGATCTGGAATTTCTGGTTCTAATTACATTTTCTATTGTCTTCCATGGGATGTTAATAGTTCTAAAACTTTAATAAAAACCAGTCATTATATATATTTGAAAGGTTATTTAACATAAAAATATTAAAATGATTCATGACATTGAATATGATCAGCATACTTGTATATTTACATATCTGTATGCATATATAATGATATCTGCAAATGTCATAAAATTCCAACAGATTAAGAAAGTCACATTGAATGCTTCATAAATCAGTGAGGATAATATATGTACTTACAACATAGAAGGATCTTTGGAATAAGTCACATACATAAGTAAATGGTGAAAATGCTCATAAAAATAAATGTGATATTCCCTGCAATTGTGACAAAGAACAGGGAACAATAATTTCTGGTTTTATTCTTATTTTTTATTGAAGCATATTTGATATACAATATTATATTGGTTTCAAGTGTCCAACACATTTCTGGTTTTAAATAACTTTATATCAAGGATTTAGGATTTGGTTTTATATGAGTCTTTTATATATTACAACCTCATTTTTGTCTCTTTAGAGCCATTGTGTTCATTGATTTTGATAATGAATATAATTTATACAACACAAAAATCTATTAAGATTTGTTGAAATTAAAGTGACACATGGAATGTGCTTTGATAATGCCTAGAATATTTGTACATCCAATTTTTAATCATTAACTTATTTAACATCCAACCATGACTTTCTCTCCTACTTCTTCAAATAAAAAGGGAATCAAAGGAATGAAGAATCATTCCAAAGCTATGTATTGAACACTGCATAGCTATGTGCTTTACAACTTAATATAAGTTTGCACATAAGCAAGAATGGTAAGACAAAGAGAAAATAAGGAATTTAAATTAAGAATCGCCGATGATAAGGCTGGTGCACATAATGGACTGCAGTCCAGGAAGTGATTTACAATCCAGGGTTATTAGTAAAATCGTTCTGTGATCATTATCAAATAAATACTAACGAATCACTTGGCAGACATTTGACTCTTCTTAATATTTGAACCAAATATGTAACTTTTTTCCTGAAGAAATTTAAAAAAGGGCTTTATGGTTCTGATAAGAGGCCAATAAAAGCAATTTAAAAAGCCTATCTTGATACTGGACCATTCTCTCTCTGCCTGACTGTCAGAGAGATCATTGCAAGATGTAGATAAAATCCATCTTTCCAAATCCTATTAAATCTTACCATCTAAATCCTCAGATGGTATTTTACTGAACATAACATAAAGTCTCACCTCCTAACTAGGTTGCACAAAGCCATATATATGAACTGGTTCTTTCCCAAGTTTCAATACCCTGATGGCTAGCATCTCTGCTTTTCTCACTGAGCTTCTTAAATGTTTCCCTTCTTTGAAATTTGCAGATAAGCCCAACTCTATGCAGCTTATTGTTGTAGCAGTTGCTTCCCCTCTTTATGGGAAGGCTTTCACTCCAGATCTTCACACGCATGGCTAATTCAGTTCATCTGGGCCACTGCCCAAACATTGCCTCCCCCGAGAATCCCATGGACCTTGTCCAGAGGGATCCTCTTCTGCAGCCCACACCCTCTGTTATGATGCCCTGTTTTCATCATCATGGAACTTAGAAATGTATGTGATGATGATCCGTACACACAGGCATTTTTCACATGTTGCTTATCTCCTGTCCCCCCAGGTATAACACAGCCCAAGAAGCAAACCCTTGGTGGTGGTGTGGCTGCTATGACCCAGCACCAAGAAGAATGTCAGGCTCTGAGCAACCATTTAATAATTAACTTTTGGGATGACTCAAATAATGGGGAGCTAACACAATATTATCTGAGAACACCACTCTCTGATTTCCTGGGTCGTACAAACAGAAATTAAAATACTTGGAGTAGTTTCTGATCTTCAAAATCAGAGGATTCTGTTTTAGGGGACAAAAGGGCTAGATGCTGAGGGATGAATAACTGTGGTGGGGGTCCCCACATCTTTCAAACTAAGCAAATTTTAAAAATCTGTCTTATCTCTTGAGCTGCTGTGCAAGATTTCCTTGGAAAATAATGGTTTCGTTTATGGAAACAACAGCAACACCACAAAAATGTTTAAAAACCAGTGATCTATGGGAATGGGTGCAGTGTCCATAAACTTTAGGTGTGCCTCCATTATTTTTTTTCTTTTAACTAAAATGTAATAGATATTGGACAATATTGGGTCAAGATTACTTCTTGAAAAATCCTTGCAAGCAAGCTGTGCTATGTAACTGCTCAAGTGTACAGTGGTATCTTTTCACAGCAAAACACTTACGTTTTTATAAAAATTGTAGATCCATACAAGAACGCTTGACTGAATATAAGTCACCACATCTCTGTAAGAAAATGAGTAGAGGTGGTACATATTAGTGTACCATTCTTTCACAAGTGTGAATTTTTTCTAAAATATATACTTATTCATAATAGGCACAATTACTTTGTATCTTACTAGTCTTCAGCATAAAACATTCCAAAAACTACCTATTGCCTAAGAAACTAGTTAAGGTGTCTTTGGACAGTACTACAACACATCACGAACTGGTTAAGCCAGCCTTTCCCACCCACCCCCCCACTTTTCTCTTTCCCACACACTGAACTGTAGCCTTAGGGAAATTAGCCATTCCTGTGCATGTTTTCACTCAGTCTATTATCACTTCCTCTTTTCCACTCCTCCCTGGGGCCTGTAGGAGTCAATCACAACCCTCTCTCTGTTCCAAGAAAGTTCATTGGCTGCTAGTCAAAGAACACATTCCTATACTGAGATAGATACTGGATTAAACAACCTTAAAGGTCACTTCGACTCTTTACCAACATTTTACTAGCTATTAGTTTGAATAAGCATTACCCACATCAATCAACAAGCCCAATTACAGTTAGCTTTTGTACTTAATTTCCTCAAATAAAAGTAAATTGTGTTTCACTTAACTGCATTTTTGTTTTATCTAAGAACTTTTTGTATCTTTCAGAATGTTGGGTACCTTTTAATTAGATAGGTAGACATGTATTAGTATAAATACATTAGCATATTAGATAGATATGCTATCTATAGTATGTAGGGTATAGTATATAGGATAATGTAGTATAGTTTGCCAAGGCTGTCATAATAAACTGCCACAAACTGAGTGGCTTATATAACAGAAATGTC